CCTTCCCTTTTTTGTCTTGATTTTTCTTGTTTCGCTCCTTTTATGTTAAAGCAACCATATACAGTATTTTAAAGGATGTATGTGTTCCTACGTAGGATTTCCTAAAATAGGCCTAGCATTTTTTTGATAAACTAGGAAAAACCTTGAAACTCTTCTCCAATCCCAGAAACAAGCAAACAAACGTGTAAGTCTTCCCACTTTCCCCTTATTCTGACTCCCATTGAACTGTGGCCTCAGACAGTCCAAAATTTCCTTTGTTTGAAGTGAAGAATAATCTTTAATTAAGTGGCCAATACATTTAAAAGTAAAACAACAACAACAACACAAATGTCTTATGCTAGGACAAACATGTTTGCATTTATTGTCATGATGGACTTTTAGGAAAAGTAGTTTAAGTAATTTTCTTTTCTTTTCTTAAGGCACTGAAGAAAATGTAACCCCAAAGCTGATTGGACCTGATCATAATGTTTTCAAAACTGAAATAGGTATTCTCTTTATTACTAAGCTATGGTGAAGTTTTGCAATATTATCAGTGCGTAAGTTGTGTCTTTTCAAAAGCTGGCGATATAGATTGCCTCTAGAATACCTTAGACTTGTCTGTGCTTGGGCTGGAAGGGCATTACTGTACATTACCTGTTCTATGTTTAAATCCAGCATCTATACCTCAGTCTCAGCATTCCTTCTAGTGCAGGGTTCCTCAACCTTGGCAACTTTAAGATGGGTGGACTTCAACTCCCTTGCTGGCTGGGGAATTTTGAAAGTTGAAGTCCACCCGTCTTAAAGTTGCCAAGGTTGAGGAACCCTGTTCTAGTGGGCCTCAAAGTCTCCTTCTTTACCCATAAATGTTTTCCATACTGTTAAAGAAAGTTCCCCCATGTTGTGCCATTCCAACCTCAGCTACTTTTCTGGAACTTTTCTGTTTCTAGAGAACGTGGTGAAGCCAATGCAGTGGCAGCCATGAATTCTGCTGCCATCTGCTTCTGCTTAAAGTGCACCTTTTGGGTTTGTTCAAATTGTGTTTGCGTTGCAGTTGAAGATCATTTGGGGGGGGGGAGGTATAATCCTGCCATATCAGCTTCACTTAGCGCCAGCTGCCCCTGTTGTACCCTGCTTTTAGAAGAGTAGAATAAGAAGAGAGCTGTTAGAAGGCCTTTGAAGGAATTGTAAAAAGAAATGAAGCGTGATATTTTCATTTGAAGAATTACTTTTCTTGTCTGTACCCACTACCATTTTTTTAAATGACTGGCTTTAGAGATCTTCAGGGCATCCGTGTGGCCCACAGCACTTTAGACCAAAGGCTTTAGTTTCCCAACAGTTTGGTAGTTCTGCAGTCTCATAGCATGTAAACTACTTCTTCTTCTTCTTCTTTTTTTTTTACCATATTCATGTTTAAATGAACAATAATGTGTAATGTGCAGGATTGCGGTATACAACAATCTACAGTTACTTTGTTGTAGTTGTACTATGAGAAAATATTTTCGAGGATTTAAAATGTAATTCTAAAAAGAATCGAAAGGGGGAATATCTCTGGGTCGGCAAATCATTGTATGCACTTGTGATTTCTCCTTTGTACTTTTTATAAGTTAGTCTTTCATTAATTCACCCAAATCATTAATTTTAAATAAATGTTTCCATTAGGTAAAGAAGAAATCCTCAATTGTACAGTGTTTTTAGGTTATTCGAAGAACTTTGTTCGATTCCAGTATGTGTTTTATTGGATTGAGTCAGGTGTTATAATAGAAACATGTCAGAAGAGTAGTTCACTGTGTCAAATGGAAGAATATGAATAGTAAGTAATATTCATAATCAAAAATTATGTATCAAGAATTATGTATACGCTTGGGCATTTGGACAATTGGGCATATTTTAATTTTCTTTGGTAGGTCTTGCAATGTGTTCTACTATAACTAACTGAGATCCGGTATAATCAAAAGGCATATTTGTACTGCCAGAAAAAAAGATTTAGTAGCCAGTCCTATTCTGTGAAGAGGGAGCTACAAATCTTTCCACATTTTTACCAAAGGAAAATTCTGTAACATAAGGATGTGACTTTATTGATAAGTGAAAATGGTTCTCATTGTATTCATTCATAAAACATAAACCAGCCATTTTTAAAAGATGGGAATAACCTAGTTATTTAAGCTACTCTTTCGATGCTTGATTCCCAAACACCCCATTCAGCTCAACTTTCTTCAGACTAGTACCTTGCAGATACAGTATATTGGAACTGCAATCTCCAGAATTCATGCTATGGATGTTTTGAACTTTAAGCAGTGAGTAGTTTAAGTTGTAAATAGTTATGGGTGTCAAACTTGAAGTTATCAGTAGGACAGCTTTCAAAGAGAAGAGTAAATTGGGGATAAAGAAACCAATTTAAGGGATGTATTCCCAAGATTAACAAGGTGACCAACAGAAGAACTGCCTTTCACATCCCTGGGAACATCCCAAAGCACCATCTGAAACCTTCCAGATACATCAAATGCCTGAAGAGAGCAGGATGACTACCCTTTATGACTGAAGAGCAAATTAATTAATTGAATTCAATAAACTTAGCTCTCTTCTTCAATTTATTTAAAAGTAAAACTCTTTGAATTCACTGAGGTTTGCTCTAGAGTAATGCTTATAGGATTATTGTGTCTATTTGCCTTTTTTAACAGTGATAAAGATGGAAAAAAACATGCTGTGAGTCAACTATGGTTTAAAAGTGTTAAAGAAGAAGACATCAATTCTTTATACACGTGCACCTTTACTGAAAATAAACCTATAACACAAACGTTTATATTACAAAAAGGTACTGTATAGTTTAATCTAGTATAAAATTAACTTGTACAAAAACAGGTGTCTCCATGTGACCTAGAAGTGGCAGTAGGCTAAATTCATGTGGAGGAAAAATAGTTCCTGTAAAAAACTAAGGTCAATTCTTAGAAGGTGGGGAGATGATTTTAGATGCTGCTGCTAATAGAACTGGACAGTTACTAGTTGAATTCTGTTTTAATCTGAATTTGAGTTTTTGTAGAAGTAATTGTTTGTTTCACAGTTAGCAACTTAATGCCCACTGATATCACAGCATTCATGGTATTTCTAGATAGTACTCATACTCTCAGACCCATCTCCTAATGAAGTAAAAACATATATTTTTTGAATTACCATAATATTTTGGAATTGTCATATATTTTATGTGATTTCAGGGGAGAAAGAAATATCTCAGGACTGAGATTTATGAACTATTTTAATAGGTTGGGCATTCAGTTTTCTTAAAAAATGGGGAGGACATCCATATAATTACACAAAATCATATGATTTCCCCCAGCACCTGAAAAGGTTGTTCATCTTTGGTTAATTGATTATATTTTTAAGTCTTTTTTTTTTTTAAGGTAATGGCTTTCTGAGGCCAACTTTTATTTATTTATTTATTTGTTTGTTTGTTTATTTTTCAAATTTGTCATCGCCCGTCTCACTACAAAGTGACTCTGGGCGGTTTACAGAGTTAACTTTTGATATAAAGACTACATGGTTCAAAATATTTTATACTCATCCACTTTATCAAAATGACTTTTGTAATACAGTTTGACATGTTCGTATAGAATAACAATTAGAGATTATAATTTGCTGTTCATTGGCCAAGTATTTATCAACAATATCTACAAATTGAAGTTTAGCTACCAAAGTTATTCAAGGTTGGGAAATACAGGGTAGAAAAGAAGATATCAACCTATTTGTTGATGTTTCTTGGAAATAATTAAAAGAATTTTTCTGTGGATTTCTTTCTTAGTTGACATAATTTACTGGTTCCTAATTTGGAACTAGCATCTTTGGAACTCCATCTTTATATATTAAAATAAAGATGCCCTAAGCTTGATTTATATTCTAGCATTATCTAGAATGATTGTGCTCTGTTTGCCTCTAGCTACTGACTAATGTTCTCCTATAATCCTCCTTTCCAATTCTATCTTAAAGATTTTTTTACTCAGGCGAGGCTTATAGCCAATCTGAAGTCCAGCTGGCATAAAATTGGCTTGATAGATTGTAAAGGAGAATTGGTGAGAATGGATAAATCTCAACCATTGTTGAACCAAGGTGCCTCAAATGGGCTAACTTACAGAATGCATCCAAAATCCCATTACTCCCGTGGGATTGAAATTTGGGGAATTTGTGGCTGCTTCACCACTGTTGTGCTGCTCCACCGCTGTGGTCAGCCCAGGTCGCTTGATTGTCATGGGCGTATCCCCAAACTCTTTCCTGCCTCCCTCTGTCCCTGTGCCCAATTGGCTAGTAGAAAGGGCCAATGGGCGACCGGCGAGTGGCTGCTCTGGAAATGAGGCAGACATTTCAAATCTCTTAACGGCTGTGGGACCCTTGGGGACATGCCAGAATGGGGAGTGGGAGTCCAGTTTTCCTCATGGTCTGTGGTTGCCTTTGTTCCACCTCCCCCCAGCAAAGTGGCAGGCAGTTCCATGGGTCAGCTGAGAAGGAGCCTCTTCACTGGGGCTTTTCTGAGAGTCGTGAGGGGAGGGCAAATGATATAAGCCTCTATTATATGTGGGAAGGAAGGAAGGAAGGAAGGAAGGAAGGAAGGAAGGAAGGAAGGAAGGAAGGAAGGAAGG